GTCCGATAAATAATTGTCCTTTTACTTTAAATTGGCCGGCCACAACGTATGGTTAAAATTTATTGTTTACACGATACTCCGATGGATCTGAACAAAGGAATCCGTCTGGTAGTTTGCACACTAACAGACTTTCAACATTCGTGCACTTGAGCAAAAACCTCGTGCACTCGATTGGAATTTTGACAAATTAGAAGCAAATTTATTCTAGTTTTTTAAAAGATTTTTTTTAGGAATCAAACCAACCGACCTCCACCCGACTTTTCAATTGTGTAATTGCTTGTCTTCTGTAATTTTGCAAGGTTTCATGGGATATGGGTAGGGAACGAAGTCGCTAGGGCTCGAATAAAGTAATGAGTGAGTTTCCTCGAGGTCCCACTACGACATCCATGTTGGTGACGTCATCAAGTATCCAGAAATGGTTATGACCCGGACTGATCTTTTTTTTTTTTGTCCGATCTCAGCCGCAAATGTTAGAAATTTAAGGTAGAAAGTCATTTTTATAGAGTCAACATCTCGGAGGAAAGTATACTTAGTATTCAGGATCTGTTTCATGTGATTCGCCAGTACATGTTAGTGTGAAATGATGATGGTGAAATGACGATGGTGAAAGATTGATAGCTTAGTAAGTGTCACCTACTTTTTTGCATAATTTTTGTGTACAATTTATTCCATTTAAACTGGGGAAATTAATGAAAACTTGTTCGAAGGGAAAAAAAGATAAAGCTAAAAGCGTCACGAGGCCCGAGGATGCAAATTATGACTTTGAAAGGAACAACTCGAGGAACGTTTTGAGTCGATGTTGTTTAAATTTTCATGATTTTCTCACAAATTATAAATAAAATTGTTCCATATGCTCTGACTTTTTACCGATCAAGTTTTTTAAAGTGATACTTTAAAAACCCTTGCTTCCAGCTGCAGCAAAATGTACCGTGAACCGATGAAATGACGCGCTGATTAGTGCCAGTACAGGCATAAATCGGGTAAGTTTCGCCCACAACATCTCCTAAACAAGCACGGTGACCTATCTTTTTTACCGTAGTTTTCGAAGCAGACATTGATGAGGAACATTTAAGGAAAGTTTTAAAAGAATTGTTCAATAAATTTTGCTTCTGAAGAATCACCTTAATACGCACTCCTCCGTTGAGGAAAAGTTTTTTAGAATTTCGACCGCTGGATGGTAATGATGATCCAACCTTCACGCAACCCGGTTTCGAGAGCTCAAGAAAAGGGAAAGTTCGCAGTCCAAATTTACCCAGCACTGAGCAGAGCAGATGGTTCACATGATATCCTTCTATGTAAAGACCCATAGGTACCTATGAATAAAGGGAGTAATTTTCTAAAGAAAGTGTGGTGCTGCGTCGGTGAAAGAGTGTAACAAGGTAATTTAGTATCATCAACTGAGTTGATAACGTAAATTGGCCACCATGAAGAGTTAAAAAGCTGACGTTTCGAGCGTTAGCCCCTCGTCATTCGCTCTGACGAAGGGCTAACGCTCGAAACGACGGCTTTGAAACTGTTTACGGTGGCCAATTTACATATTCAGCTCAGATGATAGTACTAAATTACTCTCTGGTACCAATAGTTGCCCCATCTGCATTGCAAAATGGAACGTGCTGACAATTAACCATAGTTGTTCCTTTTATATCCTACAGGGCAATATTTGGACCATGACATTACTCTAACCGCCCACCAAGTGACCAGTTGTAAAAATTCATGCCACAATTTGACAAAAGAATGCTACGGTATTTTCATCCCAGCTGACGATCCCCCCTTCCCCAAACTTGGTGTCAGCTGCATTGCTCTGAAAAAGGACGTCCCTGCTCCCAGAAGTGACCTGGCCGCACCACGATATCACACCAATATTTTAAGTGCCTTCATAGATGCCTCTCAAGTATATGGCGTGAACGAGAAGACTCTTTAGTCGCTGAAGGATATTGTAAAGGATGCAGGCCTTTTGAAGGAGATCCCACACCCCAGTGGTCCCTTATCCCATGGCCTGTTTCCACCATCAACGGGATTTTTGTCGCAGTGAGGACCTGGAGAGCCGACCGTGCTTCAAGGCGAGAGATGGCAGCGTTGACGTCAATGCAGGTAAACTGTATACAGCTTAGAGAAAAAAACGCAAAGTACGAAAGGAGCCCAGTCGCTATGTCTGAACGGATTTTGAAAATAATAACGAATCCAATTTTTAACTTTATAAGTTACCAGTTTCCACCTAAGACGTGTATGGCAGATAAAATTTAGATCGATCATCCGACATTTGGATCTTCTGCAATTTTTTCTAGCTATCCAAGTCATTTTGTTGTAATTTTCTCTCGACAAGACTATCAAATTTATGCCCGATTGGTCAGTTTATGACCAATTTATGTGTAGCCAATATAAATTGTACGTGAATTTCACACTTACTCTAATTTTTCTTTGTAAAGGTTTAGAGGCAATTCATACTCTGATGGTTAGAGAACACAATCGCGTTGCTAAAGAACTAAAATCAATAAATCCAAAATGGAAAGATGATAAACTTTTTTACGAGACTAGGAAAATTGTGGTAGCCCTGCATCAGCACATCACGTACAGCGAGTATCTACCAGAGATTTTAGATCGGAAAATTGTGAGTATAACTTGATAATCTTAACAATAACCTTAGGCCTTTTTGGAAAGATGCCGTCTAAACATGAAAAATTTCTCTCTAGCTTCCAGTTACGACTCTTTCCTCAATGTTCTTTATATAAGCGACTAAACATACGAATTTCTGGGGTTCGAACATCTCTTGCATTGTTCTCCACATTTCAAGAAAGGAAACTCTTCCGACCTAGTGATCTGTGACCCATAAATTAATGTAATTTTTTCGATTAGTCATTTTAACTTTCGTCATTCTATACTGTCTAGTTTCTAGTTTCAATCTCTGTGCCTTAGGGTAAGTGGGAAATGAGGGAATACAGAACCACTTTTCGTGAGTGAAAGTCATTCTGTTAGTGGCTACCTTAAGGTCTTCAATATATCGACGCAAACGCACTATTTAAGTCATTGTGCATGTCAGCGGCTATCTGAAAACTCTCCCATTAAACTAATGCAAAGTTCGCCGTTAGTCATCAGATTATTGGCTAGCTCAACGACCGTAATACAGTGTATATATATACGTTAACATTTTTCTGACTTTTAAATTTTACATACATAGACCGAAAAAAAAACGAGATTTATGAAGTTTATGTACTGAATAAGGTTTAAAATCCGTCAGTTCGGGTAATCTGCCGCGCGGGTGAACGGCCAGAAATTATAGTAAACAAAATAAAGACTAACAAAATAATTACGCTATTTAACTTAAAAGTTTAGGCTAAGGCTACGTGCGTGTGGTAAATTGCCTTTCCATCGAAGTTCTGCCAATGACCAGGAAGATTGCTGAATTTTGAGGTACTCAGTTTTTTCCAAGTTTTCAACGCTTTCAAGGCTATAATTTCGCGGACCAATTCGTTCCAAAAACACTCGACGCCCAATTAGTGCGGGCGTAACCAACTATTGCTACTGTTTCCTCAGATTGAGAAACATGAACTCAAATTATTGGACGAGGGATTCTATACAGGTTACAACAACCCTACCAACCCCTCCATATCTAATGGATTCGCGGTTGCAGCCTTTACATTCGGCCACAGTTAAGTAAAGGATATAATGAACCGATATGGTAAAAACTACGAAACGATATTTTGTGATGTCCATGACAACTGTTTACACCGGCGAATTTTGGGCCGACAAAAAGTTTATTTCAAACCAAAAAACTTGCGTACTTTCAATTTTTAGAGTTGACGTTGAAGATGAAACGACAAACAATCTAAGGAGGAAGTTGAATATGGACGTTGACGAAAATCTAGTAATGTACGTAATCATATAACATACAATATTCCTGAATGGAGAGTTCGTGAGTGGAATGAGTCACGCTCCCAAGTCATTTGTCTTGGGCAGGGTGAGGTGTGAAATCAGTGACCGATTAACAATTGCCCCGTTCGTTGACTTAAGACTACGAAAAATTGTGTCAAGAATTGAAGACAGCGAGTTGTATCTCTAATGTTTCTATTTTTGTTTAGTAGATTCGACCTTTTTTCGTCGTTATGAATGTAAGTACTCAGTTCCTCGTGATATCTGCTGGCGAACAAAGTTATGTTCTTATTTCACTTTCACTTTAAATGAGCATTTTACTCCAACCTTCAGTTGTTAATAATGCTTTATGACGGTATTATACATTGGCCAATACTTTATAATTAGTGTATTATCACCAAAAACGTATTAAGTAATCAGAAAAAGAGGCTTCCCTCGCTAAAATGATACTGCTACCAAGTATCGCGAAAACCTCACCTAATATCACTTGGACAACTCGCACAAGCAAAAAACGCAACCTTTACTTTCTAATCTTTGTACTTAAAGCCGCCTTCTCCCTCGCCTATTATTGGTGCTTTCTGACCAGGTTAGGAGCGGTAAATGGGTAAAACCAAGAGTTACCAACGTGCATCGAAATTTTTCAGTTTTCATTCCTTTTAAATTAACACAAGTCAAACTCAGCCCAAGTGTTTAACGAATAATTTCCGCTTTCCGAGCACAACTTCCTCTATTCCATTTTTAGGGAATTATGGACACGTGAAAGTTGTAGGCGCAATGCTACAGATTTTCAAGAAAACAGGCTTAATGCTACACGGTGCTCAGAGTTATGATATAAATGTGTTTGCTACCTTTAGTTGCTCCCCACTGAGTTCATATGGAAGTTATCAAAAGTGTCACGCAGCAGCAGAAGTGCCACTTTCGAGTGACGGAGAGGAAGAGGTCCACTTGAAACAGCTTGCGTGCAGAAAAATTTGCGTCTGCTTACGCCTCATTGTTCTTTCACGATAAGATCTAAGGGACAGAAACAATACAACTTTGGAGTGCAGTTCATGTCTAAAAATGTAAGTTCCGTGTTCGTGCTATAAAATCACTAACTTCACAAAGCTGTTCATTCGAATGCAAGATAAGAAGAGTTATCCAATTCAGGTAAGAATTACTTTCAAACATTCGAAAATACCGTTTTTTTTTTGTTCAAGACTTAATCATTTTATTTCCTGCAGACTTGAGCGTGTACATTCGCGTATTGAGCCATTTATTTTTCCACAAACTAAATCCAATTGTTCCAAAAGCACAGTTTGATAACTGGGTAATTCGTTATCTTCATTAAGTTATTTTCTTAAAGATAAATGTCCACAGTGACGATATACGTAAACTATTTTTAACAACGTAATAATCAAAATAAAAATTTAAAGCTATGGCATTAAGCCTGGTGGAATCTGATTGGGCCAATTTCGTTCCTAATTTTGCTCTTGAAAATTAAACAACTGTAAATCGTTCAGCAAGCTTATGTGTCTGAGGAAAAGTTTTCTCGAGAAATTTTGTATGGCATATAAAATCCGCGGGCAAATCACACACTATTATTTCATTTAATATGAAATTCGCAGCACAATTGGCAAAGGATTTGAACAGATTTTGGAAAGGTTTTGTTGCAGATAGGTTTTGTTGCCCTTCTCTTCACTGAATGTCCGATATTTCGTCTTGTTCATCGTATTTCAAACTTTGGCTTAGATCGAACCGGGTTCTGTTCCCAAGTTTTGCTAGAGGTCGTTTCATTTAAAATACGCCCACTTGACCAGAATAATCTTCCTTTTTGCTTAAAAAAAACATTAAGAGCCGTGCCAAACGAATTAAGACAACCACACATGACTGATTTTTTAACTAAAGGAACTGACCAGAGAAAAAAGAAACAATTCTCGATAGAATTAACCAAATTATTAACTAACAAAGCGTTTTTATTTTTTCATTTCTGTGGGAAAAAAAATCGTTTTTGTAGATCTGTAAGCTACAAAACAGTCAAAATTTCGTACTCTAATTTTCCTTGTTTCTTGTTATTATTAGTTCATTATGATAATTAATCCTTTTTAAAGCACAACAAATATCAACAGCAGACAAAAGAATTCACAATTAACTTAAACATGCCTAATACTGGAAACTCTTTAAGCAACGACACTTGAATTTTTGCTTAAACGAACAATATTATTATACTGCAACACGTAAATCCTTTCAGGGTCTTTTTAAGAACCTGAGTGCATATTAAGTATTTTGCAATACTTTTAAAGCATGATTGTAGGGGTTATTTCTGGGTGAAAATCGTATGTGTAACTAAAAATTTTGGTGAAGGGGAATTTTGATGTGTGACTGCTATTCTACAGGCAGACTATCGTCTGACCTTTAGTGCTACAAAAGTTGATATTCAATATCAAGCATGCCAAATAACTTTTATTATAGAATAATTCAAATAGTACGCGCGCTCTGATTGGCCATAAAACCATTTTACATGAGCGTATGTAAACACGGTTTTCATATTGAATCTTCTCGCGGAGTTTTCCCTGCTATTTATTTAGCAGTAACTCAGTTTCTTTAAGTTTGTTTTGAGTACAGTAATGGAAGAAAAAGATTTTCCTAATTTTTCTTTGGAGTTTAATTTTCCCAGTATTCAAGAAACGACCAAAAAGCCAAATGAACAACAACGACAAGCACGTCGCTTTCCTTCGTTGCAAGAAGAGGCTCTTTCATTAGTTATTTTATAAAAGAAATGTAAAATGGTTTCCGTGTTTACATAGCCTCGATATGCTGGAAAGCTTCGCGTCGTGGTTTCCTACGCTTATCTCGTGTTCTCCCAACCTCCCGCGTGTTTACATCAGGCTACGTAAACACGGAAACCATTTTACATTTCTTCATTCTCCCATTTAACACATCGAGAATGCTATTCAATTCAGACAACACAAAAGTATCAGGGAACTAGGCTTTAAGTTATTTACTCGAATTTACTCTGCTATTGCGTGTCCTGAACATCGCAAAAAAGAAATTATAACCAATGAAACTATAAAAAAGTGACATGGATGTACAAATTATTATTACACCTTGAGATTGCTATTCAATTCAGACGCCAGGAAAGTCTCAGGGAACTAGGCTTTAAGTTATTTACTCGAATTTACCCTGCTATTGCGTGTCCTGAACATCGCAAAAAGGAAATTCTAACCAATGAAACTATCAAAAAGTGACATGGATGTATTGGATATAAGATGATAGATAGCCAACTAGGCGCGCAGGTCCGAGTTGGCTATAGTCATCTCATGTACAACAAGCTCGAGTGGAATAATTTTTTTTATAAAAACAACCCCAAATATAATATTTGATGATAAAATCTTATCAAATTTACCCTGTAAAAACAAATGGAACTTTACGATGTACAAAAACACTTCTGGTTTAACCCGTCTTCATGGCATTTCACATATCTATCGAGAAACTGTCAAATACTGCGCGCACGGTATTAAGCCTCATAACCCTGTGATGGCTAAGCCAATGAAACCACTAAATAGCATTACCAATGATCCAGTTTCTAATAAAATACATCATACTCGCAAAGAGGCAATATCGATTTTCACCCTTGACAGTTTTTAAAGTACGCGTACTATCCCGAGAAGAAGAAAAAGCCTTGAGACATGCTATTTTGATTGATAAGCATCATTTTAAACTGTGCATTTCCACGCTAATGATTAACAAGCAATTTCTTATAAAAATTTTGTCCCTTGTTGAATTCCTTAGCCATCATGGCCGTTTTTATCCTTAATGGTTTTGTTCTCATCTTGATCATGAGTCTGACGTCATCTTACGTCATCGACGACCTCTACCCGGACGAAACTGAAACTCTAGAAGACATGAAAAGCGAACTTTTAGAGTTAAATGAAATGAACTATATGGATCCCAACATGGACATTGGTAACAATCTGGACATGAGACAGGTTGAGGACATTGTTGTCCAAAAGGTTGCACCTGAGATCAAAGCTGCATTCGAAGCTCAGAACTACTCGTGTTGGATGGAAGCCCTAAAGAAGGTACCTTACAGACTAATATTGGAAAAAAAGAAAGACCAGCAACACGCTCTACGAAAATTCTTCCAGGCATTGCAACATGGAAAAAAATCAACGGTAGACGCTCTAACGTGGTTGAAGGCCAAACAGAGCGAAGCTTGCAGCGCTTGCGCGCTGGCGAAACTCTGTAAGGATCCGGTGATTTGGAATCGTTTGGCCTTACCTGCGTCTTTGACAAGGTAAGCGTGAAGACAGTCGGCTAAATGTATTTATGGCAGTGTTAAGAGACAAGTTTCTTATATTTATAGCATAGCCGGTTGAGCACAGCTTGCAAAGCCTACTTTCTAATTAGTTTTAAGCTAAATTCCACAAGTATTATGAGACCAAGCAGTAAGAATATAATTTCCTCCATTTTCAGCCGAGAGTAAAAAGAAAACATGCCTATGGCTAAAGACCCTTGTTACACAAGGATGAAGATATAACATCATCCTGGTTTAAGGATAACGCTTCATTTATCTTTTTTCCCCTTTTTTTTTTCGCTTACAGTAAAAGGAAAGTCAAGCAATGCAAATTAAAGATACTGTCCTTGGCGCACGCGTTCAACTACACAGAAGGAGAGAGAATAAGGTGTGACAAGAATTCCCGGTTCAGGGAAATCAATGGAACCTGCAATAACCTGGATAATCCCCGTTTTGGATCAATCCGTACTCCATTCAGACGTCTGGTGCCACCTGCATATGGAGATGGGATTTCGACACTTCGCAGAGCTCTCAGTGGAGACGAATTGCCAAACGCAAGGAACGTTAGTCGTTTTGTTCACGGCAGTAATGCAGCCCGCACAAATCCTGATTCCCCAAGACTGACTCACCTGACTATGAGCTGGGGGCAGTTCATGGATCACGATTTTACCCTAGCAGAGACACAAAGCATAAACTGTGAGTCGAGCAACTCAAACATAGAATGCATCAACATTGAAGTTCCCTCTGATGATGCTACCTTCCGAGACAGAGGCGTTACCTTCTTTCAGCTGGAAAGAGATGCACCTCATATGCCGAACACCATGTGCAAACTGACTCCGCGAGAGCACCGCAACACGCTAACAGCGTACATCGATGCATCTAACGTGTACGGTTCGACTGAGGAGGAGGAAAATAACTTACGAGCCTCGAATGGCTTACTGAGGATTCTGGAACCCCGTCACGGTTGCCCTATGAAGAGTTTGTTGCCTGCACAGCTGCCTGATCAGTTTTGTGTTTCGAAAGATCCAAATAGACCTTGCTTTGTAGCGGGAGACGAGCGCGTTAACGAAAACCCAGGTAAAAATACTAGTCTGTGCCAGCCATTACGCAAGATTCACTTAATAGAATAAAACCATCCAATCAATATGTATGTTGTTATCTGTCATGTCAGTATTCTTCTTGTGAGTATAATTGAATTTTGTTTTCGTGGATGGAATAAAGATGAATGTGATACGTCTATGCCTAGCAATAAAAGGAGTCAACATTGTTTTTACGTGTTTTGAACATCTTTTTTTCTTCGTTCTGCAGCTCTCATTTCCGTTCATACCATCATTACTAGGGAGCACAATCGAATCGCGACGTATTTTGGTGAGATGACACCATGGGATGGCGAGCAAATATACCAAGAAACAAGGAAAATTATTGGAGCAGTGCTACAATTTATAACATACAACGAGTTCCTGCCACTAATTCTGAGCCCTAAAACGGTAAGAAAAGTTACTCACTCCGAGGTTTCCCATCGAACCTTTTTGTCGAAAATCAGGCAGGATCCTCTTTATGTTAAATGCTGAAAATAATCACAGAAGGTTTTGCAGACGTTGTTTAGTGACGACACCCGGCATGAATTTCTGGGAATGAGAAACTCCTCATCAGCGACCATTGTATCATTTACTTTGCCTGTCTCACATAACGAGTCAATGAGTGCCCACGCTCAGAGTGACAAACAAAGTAATGATCAAATTCGATTGCAAATGCCCAGATAGATGTTGCTGTGTGGCTGTGGATGTTGCTCTGTGGCTGTCCGTCGTGCTGAAAGAAAGCTCGTTTCTTTACACGCTACTTTCCTTGAAACTGACGTAGATACTGACAGACAAATAATCTCTATTGTTTCCTTTAAAAATTCTGCTCAGATCAAAAGAAATAACCTCAAGTTGTTGAAAGGAACCAAGTTCTTCAACGGTTACGACCCACGTATCAATGCTCAAATGTCTGCATCATTCTCTGTGGCTGCATTCCGGTTTGGTCACAGTTTGGTTCAAGAGGAGTTCATGCGTTTCACCCAAGATGGCTTTCAACACCACTGTAACAAAGCGGAATTTTCGCCAATCCCAGTACTGGACTTCGGCAACCCGACATACTTATATGACAAGTGTAATGGGGGTGTTGATTCCATCTTTAGAGGTTTGCTTAAAAGTCCCGCTGCAAAAATGGACGGGTAAGTGAAAACATAATTGTTATATAGTAGTGATAAGAATTGTACATTGTTTATGAGGAAGAAATCCTATTTAAGTGCGTCTGAGTAAACATCGTTTTGCTGGGATCGTTTTCTTACAGGCGATTTTCAAGTTCCGTGCAAGAAAATCTGTTTCGAGGTGAGGGTGATTTGTCTGATCTTATATCCATAAACATCCAAAGAGGACGTAGTCGTGGCGTTGCTTCATACACGACATATCGCAACCGCCCAGAGTGCCAAATTAGTGCAAAGGTGAAAACGTTTGATGATCTGAGAAGAGCTGGCTTTGATCCAAACGACATAAACAAGCTGAGATCCCAGTACCAATCGGTTCATGATATCGATCTTTTCACCGGAGGTATGTAACTGAGTAAAATATTATTTTACGTGCAATCAGTGCTAACATTAGGAATCTGTAGGACAACTGATTTCTCGCATTGGTCAGCTTGTTCAGCTGGCTACAGCTTTCTTTTGGATGTGTGTGAGATTCTTTGAAACGAAAATACTCTTAAAGGATACAATATATAAGAACATATCATTTAACCGTTTAAATGATCTTAAAGTTTAAGATTTTGGGGTCGAAACCTGTAACACTCAGCTTCTAAGCGCTCTCAACCGAGCAAACAAGGGACCAAGTCAAAGGTAGTCTGATACTTTCGCTGTCTCATTGCCTCAACTCTAATATCGAGTCGTTTCAACCAGATTCAAAGGACTGGTTGAGAACAGGCATTTAGCCCGAGTTATCATCTCCCTCGGCCGTGAATCCATCTATAAAAGGCTACAGTTTATTACGTAGTACTTGAATAGTTAGATTTGTCCCAAATTCTCACTTCCGGTGAAGGGCACTCCCACATAAGAATCTTGGAGGTAGGTTTTGCCTTGCCACGATAAGCCTCTAAATAATCTTACAAATATGTAAAATGTCCCTCACAGATGGCAAAAATTAATTTACTAACTTCTTCATTCTCACATTTAAAAGGAGTGCTCGAACCTGTGGATTCAGACGGAGGAGTTCTCGGGCCGACCTTCCAATGTATAATAGCCGAACAATTTAAACGCCTCCGGGTAGGTGATCGTTTCTGGCATGAAAACGCTCCAAACTCTGCCTTGCACACCGACAAAACAGCGTTCACGTCTTGTCAACTTCAAGAGATAAGGAGGGTTAATCTTGCAAAGATAATCTGTAACAATGCTGAAGACATCCCCGCTGTTACAAGGAAGGCATTGGAACAATCAAGGATATTTGTCAGTTGCGATAAGCTACCTGACATGAACCTCAATGTGTTTAGACCAGGCTTCAAATGTCCGACTCAACGGTAAGAAAAGCTTAATTTGAAACATTTGTTACTCGCACTCAGTCACTATGAAGCAAGGTTTGAAAAAGAAAAAGCCCCTCTTTTCCGCAGAGTCGGTTGATCTGATAAAGATTGACATTACATTTCAGTTCAATCCATCGGTGGGTAGAACTCGGAGAAATTAACCATGGAAATTATGTTGACACAAGTACCGAAATGCCTTTATTTCTTTACGGTTGACTTTAGAGATATTCAGGCGGCAATATATTTCATCCTCCTGAGAGTAACTTCATATTTATTAATTTCGAGAGAGGATTGAGCTAATCTTCGGCTAATTACTGACGACCAAACTATATTCAAACGAATGATGGCCACGATGAATAAAAAAATGAAAGTCACGTCATCAATCACCACTTAAGCTCAAAATAGTTCATATAATTTTCATTTTATTTAAACACCTTATTGTCTGATTTTCTCTCCTTTTTCTCAACAGTTTGATGGCTGACTCCTCTCAGAGAGACACCGACTGGTATGGAGTTCCATCCACAGAAACATTTGACGAAAATTTTTAACCCACTTTTTCTCATCTTATCTTTTGTTAAATTTTTTTCACTTCGGCCGCATTAATTCGCTGACAAGTTGATATGATTCCACATACATTGGAGTATTCATAATTCGACAAAGTTGTTTATGCATGGAAAGACATCGTCGATGGCTATAAACGCATATTACGCTGAAATTAAACTTGGAAAAATGACTGGACTGAACATTCTTACCGTAACAAGGCTACATAACCTCTCGTCAGTTAATTTTCACATGAAGTACTTTATTACAAGAAGTTAACGACGCACTTTGTCGACACAATTTTAAAAAAAATCGCGTTAATTTAACGCTTCTTAATTTTTTAATTGAAATCACGCTATTTCACGCCATTGTTTACAGCACCTTTATTTCAATGACAAAACCTCATCTGCTCATAGCTCATTAGTCACTATCTGTCAGTTCTTCTTTATCAATTGAGTTAAAAATGCTGTTTCGAAAATTTCGCGTTAATTTCATCAGTGATACATGTAAACCAAACGTTTGGAAAGCCCTTATTACTTTGTGTAACGTAAATTTTCTTCACGTTGTCAAACTAAAGTTTGACGATTACTACCAATTCATTCATGAAAAGACGAGGTGGTGAAGCGTCACCGTACCCGTAGGCTGAGGCATGAAAATCTTGCCCGCCATAAGAACATTCGCTCTCGAATCAAAATATTAAGAGCCATGAGATTGAAAAGTCTGCAATAATTTATGACAGCGGTAGCAGAACCCTTTACAGAATGTAAAACGAGAAATGCAAAGGCTATGGAAAACAAAACTGCGTTAAGTGTGTCTTAGATTGACGACCCCCAAAATACCTTCAAAACAGCTATGATCGACCGTCAAACTAAGCAACTAATAACGAGTGTATTTTTAAAATTGTTCCGCGTGTTACCTTTTCATGATTAATTCTAAGTTAACACCAGACTGATGTTATTAAGAGCAAATGTCATGAACAGCCAAAGGAAAGACGAGGTTGACTAAGTGATTCTACGATCGCGGACGAATAATCTTTTAATACTTAAGGCAATAATTACTGTAATGGGCTCTGTTGGATATGGTTATTTTAGTATGGACTCAATAAGTGGTTCAGAAATTGCAGGTTATCAACAGTAAGTTTCAAATAAAAGAAATTGACGATTCCTTTCTGGAAGAGGTTAAGAAGAGAAGCCGCAATTAGCCGCTGGAAAAAAAATTGATTCATGCAAAACGTTTTGGTTAGTCAACCAACTCGTTTGTTGAACGCGTTGATGGCGGAAGATGGCAGAAGATGTGATTGACTTGGGAACCATAGAAAGTTGTTGTAGTTTTACGGTTTAACTTTTGCCCTACT